CAGGAATCGTGGGAGTTGAATGAAAGGAGTCACGACGTCTGTCCAGATAATGTGGGCCACCACCAGCGTCAACCATATTAAATTTATTTTTAATTAGACAATAACCTTCCGAAAATGCCTCTAGAATAAAAAGACTAAAAAGTTAAATCGATTTACAAGTTAGTCACAATCTCGCTGTAAATTTACAATAGGAAAATGTGTTTTGTACAAGGAATTATATATTAAAAACATAGTTTTGTTATATAAATGTTTTAAAATATTTTTAATAAAATTATTTAAAAATAATTTTATTAAACATATTTTAAAAACAAGTTATAAGTTAAAAATGTATTAAATATTTTTTTATAGGTTTATATTAACAAAATAAAAATCAACTTTTAATTTATTAATTGTTTAATTAAATTCATTTTGTACTAAAATTAATATTAATTATCACTTTTTTTCTATGCATATTTTTATAAATATGCAATAAATACATCTTAAGACACAAAATAAAAAAACCCTTCTAAAAAATTTACAAAGTAAATTATATTTTTAATATGTAATTTAAACTATTAAATATTAATTTCTTTACAGTATGATTTCTCTTTTCTGGCAACCATACCTTCAGTTTTCTGTGGTTATGTTTATTTCAAAAATTCCATGGTAGAACCTGTTTCCAAGAGAAGATGGTAACTATTATTTAGTTTTTTTCAACTTTGTATTGGCCTGATCCCCATGCCAAGTAATTGAAGGTTTGTTTTTGTTTCAGGGTGTTGCTATGCCTGCCATGAATAATATTCTGTCGAAATCGCTTCCTGTAGCCGGAGGAAGCAGATCACTAGCTCTAGTATACAGTGGGATGTATCTTGGCTCAGTTACTGGTTTGGCCTTTTCACCTTTGTTAAGAAATAAGTTTGGATGGCCATCAGTCTTTTTCTCCTTTGGTTCTCTGGGAACAGTCTGGTTTGCTGTATGGCTGAACAAGGTAACCATTATTCAACCATGCTAATCTTTAGTATACATGTCACTTTTGCAGAATTTTGACTTTGCTGAAATTGTAATAAAAGTTAACATCGTGCACATAATATGTTTGATTGAAGGCAAATACTGTAGTTGTAGTCTACTTTCAGTTGTTTGTTACTATACTGAGACCTTCTGACACAAGTCTTTATTCTGTTATTATATTCTCTCTTCTTTGTTTAGGCACATGGTACACCTTTGGAAGATCCTGAACTGAGGCCCCAAGAGAAGAAGCTTATTGTTACAAAATGTGTTTCTAAGGAACCTGTCAAAACAATTCCCTGGAGTTTGATCCTGTCAAAACCACCTGTCTGGGCACTGATTGTTTCTCACTTCTGTCACAATTGGGGGACATGTATTCTTCTAACTTGGATGCCAACATACTATCATCAAGTAAGACATTGCGTTCTTTTGAATGTGCAATCCATTTATTCTTGCAACTCTTGATTGTCCATGTGGTAAGTAAGGTGGACTTCAAGGCTCTGACAGATTATCCTGTCCTGTGTCATTTACTTTTATATATATAACATAATTGTACTAAGGCAACCAAGCAACTGATTTCTGCTTTTAACTTTTGAAGCTGGAAGTGGTTTTGGGATTATATAGTGATTCTTTGCGCAATGTTCGAAAAAGAGAAATTGTTGTTTCTGATTGTGGTATTAAGAGAGGTGCATTTTTTTTTCCTTTTCCTAATAACACCACAGGTCCTGTAGTTCAATCTAACGGAATCTGGACTTTTTTCTGTTTTCCCTGGCTTGCAATGGCTTTTTCTGCAAATGTGGGAGGGTGGATTGCAGATACACTTGTGAGCAGAGGTTTATCTGTGACTACTTTCCGCAAGGTATCTTTAGTTTCTCATAATATTTTGTTTTCCTTTCCCTTCTGAAAAATATGATAATCCCCTCATCACCATCATCTTCTTCGTCCCCCTCATTTTTTTTTCCCCTTTTTGTGACTGATACACATTTACATGGTGGCATTTGGAATGCACATCCCTTTGTTTCTCCTGTGCTCTGTTGCACAATTAAAAACTATAGTTTCCTAAGTAATGATTCCTTGGAAGCTTATGTAATATATTGCTTTCTCTGTACTCCATTGCAGATCATGCAAACAATTGGATTTCTGGGCCCTGCTTTCTTCCTCACTCGGCTGAGCCATGTTGATTCTCCAGCAATGGCTGTTTTTTTATGGCATGCAGTCAGGTATGCTTCTTGCTAGTCACAAGACTTTGAAACATGGATATCATGATGCTCTGGGTAACTGGTCAAGGTATGCGGGTGATCAATTATTCAATATTTCATTTGTCTTAAATAGGGAACTGATGCATTCGCTCAGTCTGGTCTATATTCAAACCATCAAGATATTGCCCCTCGATATTCTGTAAGTGTTAATTTGAAATCCCTCGTTCTATTCCTCATTTTCCTCTAACTAAGCTATAATCTCACTCTGCCATTGACAAAAAGGAAAGAATTTGATAATCCTTTCTTCACATTTTCCTCTTATTATGAAATCCCACCATAAAATCCTTCATCCAAACTCATCCTTAAGCTTTTCTGAGGCAAATAACAGTTTCACCTTTTATATTGTCTTTATGGAGTACTGCTTGGGTTATCCAACATGGCAGGAGTGTTAGCAGGGGTCTTGGGAACAGCAGCAACTGGTTACATCTTACAGCATGGTTAGATCTCCTTCTTTTCATGTTTGAATTGAGCTGCTAGAAAACTTAACCAGAAATACATGTTAGATTATCTGAAATTAATTAGAATATTAAACCTGATTTCTGGCACATACAAGATGGTAAGAGTATGCTGCCTCAAACTGCATCATGCTCCTCTTTGTAGCAACTCTTGATATAGCTGATTCATTTGATGTTTTCTTCCTAACTGTAGGTTCTTGGGATGATGTTTTCAAAGTTTCAGTTGGGCTCTACTTGGTTGGAACAGTCATCTGGAACCCCTTCTCTACTGGTGAGAAAATACTGGATTGACTCTCAGCTAAGCTAAAATTTTGCGTGTGGCATCTCAAGCCTCTGTGTTTGAGCTTATTATGGAAGAGTTTCAACTGATTGAATGCAAAAGTGAAAAAGGAGTTCAGAATGAATTCTGATGAAAAGTGAGAAATAGGAATTTTGAGCTTGAATTATGAGCTAAACTTTTTGAATGCTGAGTGAGGGCATAGGATCTTGCAGAATCTTTGAATTCTGAAATTGCCACTTTCTTCGCCACTACGGGAAGATGCAAGGCTTCTCATTTTAGGAAGAAATTGTCTGTATGGTAAGTCCACGCACGTCCTGTAAATGTTGAATTCAATTCTAACAAGTAAAATTTGTGATTATTACTAATTTTTCCTCTTCAATACTATTGCAAAAGTGAATATCTAAGTAGCCAATGAGAGGAAGACTCGCCTCGCAAAATGAACAGTACCCCCCCTTTCACAGTTTTTTTTCTTCTTATTTTGCCCTTGATCCTCCCCTTTTCCTTTTGTCCTCATACTCTGCCCTTTTGGTCTTTTTACAATTCTTTTTTTTTTATTTTTTATTTTTGGTGTCCTTGTTCATCCTTGAACCTTGCTCTTTTCTTTACTTTTAGCATGGACAAAAACCTATTTTAGCATTTTACCTTAATAAGTTTGTGGGTTTTATCTTCTCACCTTATATTATAATACTTTTAGTCCTTAATAAGTTTATAGTTTTTATCTCTTCACCTTATAGTATGACATTTTTAGTCTCTCATCTATACGAATTGAAAAAATTAACTCACTTAACATTAGGTTATAACGTTCTGTTAGTTCTGTTAATTGAATGTTAACTTTGTTAATTAACTGTTAGTATCTGTAGCATTCCATTATAGAAACATAAAATTTTAATCCAATTTTATATGTTAATTCTATTAATGGAATACTAACAGAATGTTAACAGTCAACTAACAAAATTAATAGAACGTTATAACTTGACTTGTTATTTTTTTAATTCGTATAAGTGAAGGGCTAAAAGTGTTATAGTATAAAACGAGAGGCTAAAACCTATAAACTTATTAAGATAAAGGGTTAAAAGTAGGTTTTAGCCTTTAGTAGGGGGTGAAAAGGGCATTTAATGTTTAAGTCTATTAACTCAATGTGATTTTCCTCTTTTGCCCTTACATTTTATCTAGTCTCGTTTGGTTCTTTTGTCTTTTTGAGTTAAAAAAAATGCTACTTTGTTCAATCATATTTGATTGTTTCCCTTTTCATGCTTGCCCTTGGAATCAGAGGATTGCAAAAAAGCTTGCAGAAAAGCTAACATGGGAGGGGAAATTTAGAATCTGGTCAACATTGAATCTCT